CGCCATTTTTCAGCACACGATAGGCTATTCATGGCGGCCAGTAATAATAGTGGAGGAAGAGACCGGGAAATCACCGGAACCACCGACCCACGAGAAGCTACCGGCAAGCTTTCTCACATATCTACATTCGCCGAATCATAGACTCGACCCCACGCAGTCAGAGGTGAGATGGTAGTGATCCGTAACGGACAGCGCTTTAGACTACTCGACCACTAGGGGCCCCTTAATCTTATCGTAGCTTTACAGGATAAAGTTGCCCTTGTTTTAGCGTTGTAACCACGTGGGCAATGATGGTTACATGATATGGTTTCCATGGTTTTTGCCCTAAAAGCTAATTTAGTAATAGTTAATGGGTTATGCCATGACATGTAACATGAGCTTATAATGGTGTGTGCAGCGTTACGCTTGCCTTGGGCATTACATGGAGGGCTCAGCTGTGTGGTGCTGTTGTACCCAGAAGTTTGGTACACATTGTAGGAACACTTCTCGGGCCTCTGCTTTATTGCCAGAAAGTAATCCCTTGTTTATTGCCAACATTAAAATGTTCTGGCAATTTCTTATGATAGCGTGCAGTCCTATTACTAAATGTAATTATCTGGTTGAAATTAGACTGCGAATGGTATTTTTAGATGTAGACTGTGTCACAGATTGTACACTCGTAACATGCACCTAACAACTTAATCAACTTCACATGACAAAAATTCACATGTAGGTCAAACAAATTTGATTTAAATTGAATTAAACTGTAGTTTAGAATAAATTTTATATTTTATTTGATATTTATTTCCGTAAAGGTTAAATTTAAGAAATAGTTTTTTATGCTTTGTAATTCACGAAACCCATTTGCTTGACAAAGATTTTCATTTGTTTGAAATTTTACTACACCTACCATTTCTGTTAATATCAAGGACAGCAAAAACGTTTTGTAAAGGTGAAAAATCTGTAAGAATAGAACAAGAAATTTTTTATAATCAAAACAAAAATTAATAATGAAACACAAGCAAAGATGTATGCTGGTAAGCCATATGTCAATGACGTCTTCATAAATTAAGATTTTAAAGACGAGTCAGTTTAAACAGTTTGGAACGCGTGCTAGTCTAAAAAACAATGATTAATTAAGACCATTACTGGGTGAAAGTATATTTCTTATAGTCAACGTCTGATTGACGATTATAAAACTAGGGTGAATTTGGTATAAAGTGTACCAATTTTCATGAAACAAAAACTTCTCATTCTCACACAGAAGTTGCATGTGCGTATGCGTGTGCTCATCTCAACATGTGTAGTTTGTAAAGTATATTTACAGGCATGGCACAGTTTCATGAACGGTATTAAATCTGTCACATGTGTACAACAGTACTTTCCAAAGATATTCTTCCTTCATCTAAACATATCTAAATAGTATTTCACCAGTGTAACATATAATAAGTTAAGAAACATCTTTTCTGTGCATTTTTATAATGGAAGATTTTATTTCATCAAAACTTGAACTCATACTATGTCGCCGAACTGACCAACACATAATGCCTCTAACTTCATTCTAGCTTTATATTGGAAGTTTCATACTGAATATTCATTAATAGATTAATACTAAAATAATAATAATAATAATAATAATAATAATAATAATAATAATAATAATAATAATAATAATAATAATAATAATAATAATAATTATTTTTAATAATAAAAATAAAGTAAAGAACCATTTTTTGGTCGATCATCGTTAGAATTATGGTAGAACACATTTAGTTGCATACACGTACCATTAACGAGGTTTATGTGGAAATGGCCTCCTTGTAAAAGCCATAAGGTACAGATTAGTTCAAGCAAGGCCAGAAATTATTAACTTTTAATTAAGGACTTTGTTTAATTTACCTAACGGTGTTTTGTTCTGCGTAGAAGAAAGCAGTCGTAGCCATATGTTGATTGAAATAACGCAGCGTTTAGTGCCAAAAGGCGGGAATTATTGTAAATCTGATATTTCACGCTGTGGAAGGAGGCATAGTTTAAAACGAAAACCTTAAGTTTAAATGTGCTGGAGAAATTTTGAAACTATTCTGCATTTCTCTGGGATAGAGAACGAATAAATACCGGTATACTCTGGGGATTTTAATGAGTAAAGTTCTCGTCAATCAAAATTCTATCCTAGAGAGTCGTTAGTCTGAAGGATTTGACAGATCCAAGAAACAGGAAAAACGAGGTACTTGCATAAATCTCATACTTTTATGCTATGATTTAATTGCTCGTAGGTACTTGTGTTTGCAGAAATCTAAGTCGTTTATGAAATGACTTAATTGCCTTTAGAAGCATGTATTTGCAGGAATTTATTTGTTGAATCGTATATTAATTTTCTTGATATGGTATACGTGTGTCTAGTTTGTTTATTTGAGCCCGCGCAACGATATTCCTTTTCACATTTTCGTTAGCGATTTGGGAAGTTATAATCTTGATTATTGAAGGGATTGAGTATGTTAAATTCATACTTATTATATATACGGAACTATGTATCCGTCATAACTGTTGAGTTCATTTAGCTGAAAATGTTGTATTTATAGTCATGGATGAATGATTGATGTTACGGATGTAGTCAAAACTATCCGTACAAATTTGTTATGTATATGGTAGCCTTAAAGTAGAGGAGGAATTTCATTTACATGTAACGAGACCAAGTGATGGGCTAATGCGATATGTGGCGTAAATTGCCATTCGCAGATCATTAGTCTAGAATCTAGCTGCATAGACCGTTTGAAGTCGTTATAGTTAAATTCTCACCTCGAGGGGGTCATTCTAATAATGTATTCCCATATAATTTGACGGAAGATTTAGGTTGCTTATTTACATTTGTATACGGTGAGATAGTCTGGAAAGACGTTACCACGCAAACAGCGTGGAAAAGAAAATGCCAGTTTAGAACAAAAGGAAAGGCATCTATAATTGTTGGAACGAGAGAAAGTGGAACGGAAGACGGACTGAAACAACAGAACCGAAAAAAGTCTAAGAGGACCTGTGTGACGGAATCAGTCAACAGGTTATGCATTGATGCAAGGCAGAGCTATTCGATATACTCAGACTCGTAAATGATGATTTTAGATTTTATCTTAAACAGAATCGGTTAATCTTATGTCATTGTATTTTTGAAATTCCTTTAAGTTGTTAATACTTAAAGAAAGAAGTGCATCTTTCGAAGTGTAACTTCCATATTTACTCGTGGAAAGTTTTAATGTTTGAAATTTTATTAAATTTTGTCTTTACTTTTAACGGGGGCTCGACTTATTTCTGTATATTAGCTCAGTGTAACAAGATAACCGAGTTTGGTGTTTTCAGATTAATAACGAAACACCATTCATGGGGATACAATGCAATGTATTTATTATATGAAAATATCAAATGAAGTACGATAGATACGTGCGTGAATGGGTACCAATATGGAACTAATTAACATAATCAGCACGATCTTACTAATGTAACAAATACGGTACCAAGACAAAGAAAGAACGATTCACGGTATATAAACAGAAATATGACTTCACAATAGTAAAATACAAATTATATTTTCGTTCAAAATAACTAATTGATAGTTTTACTCATGATAGCAAAACAAATGATCGTTCAAAATAACGGATTGATAAATTTTAATCACAATATCTACACAATAGCAAACACTGGGTTTTACAAAAACCCTACGTTAGTCAACGGCCAAAATATATCTGGAGCAATGTATATACTCACTTAAAACTCTTTGCTAACAGTTCCACTAGACAAACAAACAGAGATTTGTAGTCACCTGACCACTTGTTTCCTGGGTTTGACAATCAGCACCCGACACTTTGGTCTGCAACGCCCGATTTCCCTCAACCCGACTGGCAACGTTGGAATATTCAAAGCTATCGAAAACATACGCACAGCACAGCCCGGCACTGCACACGCAGGTCTAAACAGCACAGGCAGCTTTTCACAGATGTATACAGCACAGCTCAGCACTAAACTCTACAGCATAACAGCACGGCAACAACACAGTGCATCAACACCAACATGGCACTGCAACACCAACAAAGCTCTACACAAACACAGACAGAATAGCAAACTACTGCACCAACAGCACTGCAACACCAACACAGCTCTCTACAGCTGGAGATATGCAGGTCTCACAGTAGACCTCTGATCGACAAAACGGTTCGTAAAGTAATGTGATAATTTCTTACCAGTTTGAATTATATATATATATATATATATATATATATATATATATATATATATATATATATATATATATATATATATATATATATATATATATATATATATATATATATATATATACAATGTAGCTCTACAGCGTCTGTGTAATTCATGTATTCGGTTTTTCCAGCCTGAAGCACTTCGCACGTGCCGAGCAAGGAAGAACCGAACTCACTATTTACGAAATATAGAATGTACATTGATCACCCTCGGGTATCGTTGTACACTAAAAGCGAAAAAAAGAAAAAATATTTACACAATTCCGTGACACTCAGATTACTTCTTTATTCCATTCATAAATTCCTACTTGTAGTAGCTTTATTTGATACCGGGCACATTTCATCGTTGGAAGTCACTAATAGATACGAAGCCAAAACCAGTAAACCCGCCACAAATAAGTTGAGGAGTGTTTACTGCCCACAAATAATAAAAGAAGAAAAAGAAGAATCTAAAAGAATTACTATAGATTGGAACCGAACTTTTGCAAATTTAAACCCGATTTTACCTGAAGTTATTGCAATAAAACCTACGTACTGGTCACATGTTACTTTAGACTAGAAGTCTATTACTAACATCTGTGGAATTATTATCTACATAACATAAGTATTATAATTACTAAGTATCATGTGTAGTACGTAACGATTAAATTACAAATAATCTTTACATCATAAAATATTTTCCCACCAAGGTCTATAACAGATAGCATGCAAATTTCAAATGTATATAATAATAGGCATGTTAAAACATTTGTATAAATCGCTCCGGAGGCCTAGTGGTTAGAGCGTCCGCCTCGGATGCGGGAGGTCGTGGGTTCGACCCCCGGTCGAATCATACCAAACACTTACAAAAAATGGTATTAACAGCTGCCTCGCTTGACGCTCAGCATTAAGAGGTTAGTGTTAGGACTGGTCGGCCTAGTGTCAGGATAATGTGCCTGGGTGGGACATCATGCTACATGTCTGCGGCATGATGACCCAGTGCTAGACATCACTATAAACTGCCACACTGCAGACAGCTTAGTGATATGACTGAACAATTGTTAATGCTACGTTAAAAATCTAAATCACATCACAAATCAACTTTTATACCTTCTTCGTTCTTAAAAGCCCATATCAGCTGCACAAGGAATCTAGTTTCACCAGCCAGTGTTTATTCTCCAACTAGCCATCCAGCTAGGCACTCTACCATCGCAAATCTAATTAGCTTTAAGTTACTTTCATCAACGTGCATGGCAAGTGGCCAAGAAACCAACAGTCCACAGGAACATATACAAAACCTTTAACCCGGAGAATCTCTCACTTCATTAGCGGCATGGTACAAATACACTTGTGGATATTTTGTATTTGCTTTTAGAAATATCCGGTGAACGACCCCATCAAAGTCAGCGGAGCATTCACTATTAATTGATAGATGCCAGCAGCTGATGGTTCTAGTATCATAACTAATATTAAACTGTGTTGAAGTTATAACTACAACCATAACTAATGTTAAACTGTGTTGAAGTTATAACTACAACCATAACTAATATTAAACTGTGTTGAAGTTATAACTACAAATATACATTAAGAACGGCATGTATATATTATCCATCAGATGTAAAAAGGGTAAATGAAAATAATCATATATTTATTTTGAACGAATAAAAGAGAAGTTTGAAGATATAACCGAAATTTCGGACTTTGGCTGGACAAAGACAGAACCCATATATTACTTGGAATATTCCTTGCCTGTTGATTCATATTTATTAGTTGGATCTGTAAATGTTACGGAGGATAGATGTGCTTGAAGCTATATCAGTTTAGCCATGCCAGTATGGTATAAAGGCTCAAATGACATGAAAATCATGTGACACGATCTTCATGTTCACTATTGACAATTTGCACAGGGACTATAATTCAGATTTACTTTGGGTTTATTTTTACTATAAATATGCATATACAATATAGATGTGTATTCACCACAACAGAACAATATGTAGATAAACACAGTTTGCTTACGATCTCTAGTTTGGTTTATCATCAAAAATGGATCGCTCCTGGCCACTGTCTTAAGCTTGCTGATCTCTCTCTCTCTCTCTCTCTCTCTCTCTCTCTCTCTCTCTCTCTCTCTCTCTCTCTCTCTCTCTCTCTCTCTCTCTCAGGTTGTACTTGGAAAGAGTTGGTATATAAGTTAGGAACGTTTCAGCACACTTAGATCACACACACACACACTCTCTCTCTCTCTCTCTCTCTCTCTCTCTCTCTCTCTCTCTCTCTCTCTCTCTCTCTCTCTTTCTCTCTCTCTCTCTCTCTCTCATGCATTTAAGTATTTAAAGGAAACTGCAATAGGGGAGTAGGAAGCAACGGCAGCAATGAGTAAGGCCTGTAAAATATTTGTCTCTCATTTTCATCGAGATATTGTCCAACATTTAAAAGACACAACCTCGACAGTTTGTACCTGTGCTTTACCATGGTTTTCCCCACTCCTTATAGTTTGTGTTATCTTTATATAGGGGTTGATCGTCGAGGATATTATTGCTCGGAATGAGTAATTACTAATATACAACACGAATATAAGGGATGGAACAATAGAGGTCTGGAAGAGATTTATGATAGAATAACACGAGCCCCCGTATATAAAATACAACAAATTAATCAATTATATCAACAAAAATTATATGCGAATGATATGCTTTCTATTAAAAATAGATTTACAAAATAATGCAAACTTCATTTAGCCGTTCTGGTATGTATATACAAATTTCATCATATGATTGAGTGACAAATCACTCAGATTGCCGATAGGACAGCATCACATTGTGCTTCAGTCTTCCCAAATCAGTGTTGGTGATAGGTCGGTGTCATCGTGCATCTTTCCATTCTCTCTCTATCTTTCTATCTCTCTATCTTTCTAGTAAGCAAATCTTAGATATGGACTTGCCGTCTTTCACACTCTGCAGTTTGGTAGCTCTTTATTCTTTCTCTTTTTGACTTTTTAAAACTTAGTTCGCCTAATATGAGAGAATTCCCCCTGTCCTTGTCTTAATACTGATTTATCAAGAACCTCTGATATTTTGACGATTTTTAATTTGAGAACACTTTTTGCTCAACCGAAATCAAGAATGCCTTGTCTTCAAGCAGAAACTTTGCTGAAGTTTACGAGGGGACTATCTTGAAACCCTAAATAATGTATGGGAACACATCCTCTCGTTTAGCTTAGCCAGTTAGGATTACTATTTTACCCACCAAAATTCTTATCAGTCTTACAGAAGACTTTATGAATAGCTAGTCTGGAAAATATCATCTTATGACACCTGTTTCAAATGGACTACAATTTTTAAAACAGTATCTGGTTCATGCTGGGTAGTTTACATCTATGACGTCACGTTAACATCGCGCCCTTGTGCTTGTTTTAACTTTATCAAGCGGGTTCTAATTTAAACTCAGTTCATGCCTCAAGCAGAACAAATTAATTATTACAAGTTGCCAAGCTATAGCGATTCTAGCCAAGACATAAAAATTAATGGTTACATGTCACGCTGGGCTGACCCCAAGAAATTGCACTACTAAAGAATGTATTGTAAAATGTATACTACATACAAATTTCTGATTCGACAAAATTTTGCACCATTACAGCACTGCTAATTATTAGTTCTATCATGTCGATCAACACTACAGTACCCATTATACTTCCAATTACGAATTGTTAAAGACAATGCGAAAGATACACGACAATTAAAATTTCACTTTGGAAGACAAATAATAAGCGGTGGGGGTTTTGTCATCTTTCACCATTTGGTATCATGACGTCAATTGATGATTTCATTTATTATATAACGTCCTTTTTATTTTAAGAACCTGTATCAACTACTGTCAGTTTCTCTTTGAGAATGGTTATCAGCTACGGTCGTTATGCCTTACGTAAACTTATGAACTAATGCCGTTTTCAGTTTGATTTTTCCTTTGAAGAACGGCTGTAAACAGCTGTCTTTTTCACTAAGAGAACCGTTATGAACTACTTTAGTTTAAAGAATGGTTTTGAACACGATCGTTTTCATGTAAAAGTGGCTATATGTACTACTGTTTTTCATTTAAATAATGCATATAAAATGTCTTCGTTTTCATGTACAGAACGGTTATAAAACTCAGTTTTACTTTAAGCATACCCTTTACTTAAGTCATTCGTAATATGCATGCAGTTGTCATTTATTTTTTTCTTTGATGATAATATTTTCTGCAAACACGTCAGCTCAGCCTGATTTTATCACCGGTACATAATCTCTTTCTCGTTGATATTTTGTGGCTTGACTGCACGATCGTTTCCTGTAAAGCAGTATAATGAACATAATAAATAATCAGCCCACTTCACGACGCATATACTAACCCAGCTTGATCTGATTATGGTACCATCAGGTTACGATATAGCCGTAATCTGGTACACTGCATGTATATTGGTATGAACGATCACAAGGCCGAATTTTCAGCATACAATTAGATCGTCCCAAAATAATTAATTTTAACGAAACGTCAAACTCAATAAAAGAAATGCAATTATGAATTATTAAACATATACATTGCTAATTGCACATCAAACGAATCTTTTTAATTAATGCAAAGACAAAGAAGAAATTTACTCATTGTTTTACAATGTTATAAAGATGATTTCTCAACAGTGCCTTAACCCAATCAGTTACAATCAGACCAAATGACAAAATCAGGTTTAAGTCCGATTTAAGATTAGAACTCAGATTAAGAGACAGACTGAGGAAAGAAGAATCACAAACCAAAAGCACACACACACACACACAAACACACACACACACCATATGTCTAGATATAAAAAGCAAAGAAATAGAACAACAACCTGAAAAAGAGACAAAGAGAGTTGTTTTCTTTTGAAAATCATGGACGTTCAGGATGTAGCCAGTATAAGCAAACTCTTGCAGACCGCTCCGGTGACCTAGAGGTTAGAGCGTCCACTTCGGATACAGGAGGTCGTGGGTTCGAAGCCCGGCCGAGTCATACCAAAGACTTTAAAAATAGTGCTAACAGCAGAATCTCTTGGTGCTTAGCATTAAGAGGTTAGTGTTAGGACTGGTCGGCCTGGTATCATGATAATGGGGTGGAGTGGGACATTATAGAACAAAGCATTGCAGACGAAAATACGCTTTTTGCAATCAAAAGATCCAAGGAGATACTGGAATATAATAAATAATATCGACAAGAAAAGACTGGTTCAAGGTATTGCATTATTAGTAGCCTTTGACTATTTTACATGCATGAAGAGTTAGATTATGGGAAAATGTTTTAATGTTATATTAAGTATTTATAATCAGATGAAATAACGTGTATGTGTAAACAGTGAGTTTTCCGGGTTTGTCTCATATGAAAAAATGTTTAAGACAAGGTAAGGTGTTATCTCCATTATTGTTCTACGTGTGTCTAAGTTATTTAAAATATATTTTTTCACTAGTAAAAGGATGCATAGGTACCCTTCATGAGTCATGACTTTGTAATTATGCTCAATATTTTGTTGCTTTTATAGTCTGCTGACACCATCCTTGTCGCATATAATCCTGTTGGCATCCAAGAAAATAACATTTATATGTTTAGTAGATATTGTGGAACTTTACAATTAATACAGAGAAAACAAAACTTATTATATTTGGTTCAGTAAAAGATCACACATAGAAAGTTTAGTTTAAATATTCCTATGTTAATGTTGTAAATAAATGTAAATAATTAGTCATTTATTTGAATGGAAAGTTCTCTAATGGCTCGAACAATTTATTGGCTTAAGCAAGATAAAACTATGCATTTGCGTATACACAATGTACGTTGGCCAATTGATTG